GATTGAAAAAAAAAACAAAATTAAACTGAAATAAGTCGACAGACTGTTGGATAATTACTCAGCATAATTTTACATAGATGACTTTAATTTGTTGGTCAAGAGAAAAGATTGTGCTTAAAATTAAAATGCTAATGTACTTGAATAAAATATAAGTTAAACTGTCCGAACAGTGAAATATAAAACAAACTCATATTTGCTGTACAGATTAAGTTAATAGTTTACATTACAATATATAATAAATCGATAACGATCAATTTAAGTTAAAAAAACTGTGGTAAGCCGGAATAGACGTCGCACTATACCAATCAGTTATAACTAAAATATAGGTTAAGTGATAACGGTAAGCCGGAATAGACATCGCACTAAACCGCACACTAACAAAAAGTAAAACAAAATAATCAAGTTAAGTTAAATTATAACGGCAAGCCGGAATGGACTTCGCACTAAACCGTATAATAACATGAAATAAAGTAAGAATTCAAGTGAAGTTAAGAAAAGCACAACTTTGTTTTTAAAAAAAATTGCATATGAAAATAATTCATATGACTTATCATAGTAAAATGTGACTGACCTAGGAGAGATTTGGGGGAAAATATAAAAAAAAATCCTGCAAAGGGAACATGCCCTATAAGAGAATAATATAGCTTTAAATATATATATATATCTTAAATTAATATCTCAATCTAATTCTTAAAATCTAAGACTTCAATGAGGTCTTCGATGTGGACACATAATACAGGCGTCTTCCATGCATTGTAATAATGATTAAATCCAGCGGCGTAACGCATAACCCATGTGACTCGGAAAAAACTCGCTGACAGCTACAAGGTCACTCGAACCACCACCACAAAAAATAATACATACAAATACACAAAAAGGACCGTACGGCTACAAACTTCAATCTAATAACAAAGGCGAGGCAAATAACATGTCCTAAGGACCAAAATCGTACACTTATGTTATGAGCTCGTAATGAAAATTTAATAAGACAGTATATATTTATAATATAACGACGTAAAAATAAAAATTGAGTATAATAAATAAAATTAGTACAATTATTGTAACTACGATAAGAGAATAAAACATTTCCCAGGCATGTGTCCAATGTCCTGGTGTCATGTTTGTACCCCCCAAACCATAAATCAAATAACGTACTAATTAAATTATTTTTACGTTAAATGAAAAGGTTTATTGTGAGAAAAAGTAAGTAAAGACATTTATGTCTTATCCTGGCTAGGGTCGCCATTCTGCAAGCGGGCTTTTTATATATTGGCCTGTAACAACAACGTGGTTTGCCACTTGCATAACGACTAGCTAGAGTAGCAAGGGTCGCCACCACCTAGGCGAGGTGTCACACCTATCAGATATGATTACCGGACCATAGGTGGAATTTAATTTTAAGTTAATTAAAAGTACAATCTAAGTTAATATGTCGTTATATGTATAAATTACTATAATGCCTCGTGGTTTATAGAACACAATTAAGACAATCAAAGTTGTATGTGGTTGATATGTAAAACATACCGTAGCCCGTGTCTAGATTAAGGAATAGGAATGAAATACACGCGAGTAATTAAGTTACTCGCGCAATAAAATAAATATTACAGTTGAAATTAATAAGGAAATTTAATTTAATTGTTAAAAAAAGAAAATTAAGTTAAACATGGACAAAAATGCGAATGCATCAAAAACCATGTCTACAAATAAAGGCAATACAAATAAAATAAAATATTTAAACAAATAATATTACAAACATCACGGACGGTATTAGAACACATCCGTCAATGTTAACAGGAAATTAATGAAGAACACCAGGAGCGGTCTGGACACTCGCTCCTTAGAAGAAGAGAAGAAAAGGGAAACACGTGCTCTCCACACATAAACAAAATTAAGTTAATTTACAATAAAATAAAATGAAATAAAATAATTAATAAATTATAGCTCATTACATAAATATAATATAAAAAAGAAAACGATACCCGGTCTCCGAAGAGACCCATCCGATGGTCTGGATGCTTCATCGAAAAGACCTGGCCGTTCGCCGTTGGCGGTTCTACTCCATCATTGTAAAAAAAAAAGTGTCAATAAAGAAATAAACGTGTGCACCTTAGCACGGTCAATGACAGAAGAAGGAATAGAGTAGAGTCAACACCGATCTAACGGCAATTTCAAAACGATAACGGCCAGTCTTTTTAGAAGGGATCAATACGATAAACAATTCGATTTTAATTATATTTCTCTTTTATCGCCTTATCTAGCGGTCAGCGGTAAAATAATGAGTGGTTGACACCGCTGTGTCAGAAAAAGGTTCTTTCGCGCGATAAAATAAATAAGTAGACATAACAAAAAATCATAAACGGTCCACCTTCGAATTTGTGACGTTACAACATAATTGTTTCATATATTTAAGTACCTTACCATTTATCATATCATTGTGAACAAGTTCAGGGGAGATGTTCTGAGTCGAGTGGGTTCTGAATCGGTTCATCATCTAATTCCGACAACGAATGAATGTGTGGTGGTGGTGGTGGTGGTGCATGGTCTACGAGAGAATCGGTGTAATTACACAGATTAATCCCCCTAATCGAAACTACAATAGTAATAAAGCAAATATTTAGTTTAACACAAAATTTTATTAATTTATCATTATATTTAATTAACTTACCTATATCAGAAAAAACCGGTTCGTTTATTATCTCCCCCTGTATAAGCTCAGGGAATATATCCGAACTCGAGGAGGTGATATGTTCATCGTCATCATTACTTACCATATCACGTGATCCAATTATTGGTCTATGATTCGTGATTGAATCGAAGAAATAGATTGAATCATTTGAGTTCTGTGTCTATAATTAATTTTAAATATTTAATTTATTACATTAATTTTATACATTTTTTTAAATAATACTCACTATTGCACCGTATTCACTAAACCACAGTTGAATTCCTAATTCGTTGTCTGGGTTAACCATTAAGTTACCGAAAACATCTCGGTAAATTGGAGAGTTGTTTTCACGAGGTTCATATCTAATATTATTTAAAATATTAAAAAACTCCTTGCCACCGTATTCTGGTGTATTCTAAAAAAATAATATTAATAATTTTTTTATCATATATTTTTTAATAAGTTAATAAAATTAACACTTACGCTAGTCATGATGATGTTATTCTTAATATCTTTTTCGTGTTGTTGTAAAGAAATGTAGTAGTTATAAAACACCTAAATCGTGAATCAACTGAATGATACAAAAACCATAGGACGCTGCATTTTTATATGATTTAGCAAGAATAAGATGAGTATACACATACACACGCACACACACACATAGCCATTATTATTATTATTATTGGATTTACTAGTTTTACTAAACAAAATGCTTTAACACGTGAGAAGAAAAGTATTATATGTCTAGACTGAATAATACATAATTCAATAAAATTTTTCAAGAAATGTATTAATCCATGGTACCCTAAGGGGTTAATTCCCACGATCGGTAGGGAAAAAAGACTATTTCAAATA